AACGCTTTTCGATAGCTAAGCTGTAATGTCATCATCATTTATTTTATGCAAGTACGGATTTCAACACCTGTGAGTGTTACTAAGCCGTTCCAAGTTACGCATGAACGTGGTTCTCGAATTAACTCCCTGCAAGAGCCTCGTCTTTCAAAATTAAAGTGTGAGCTATGTAGCTGGACAAGTGTTTTGTAGGTGGATTAATGACTATTTGACATTGGACACAGCAATTAGGTACATAGCTACAGTACAAGGTTTTATGCATAAAAGAGACTGTAAGAGAAAAGTTAGCAAGGTAACATATCACAATTCGCGATCATCTACCCTTCTCGTATACACCACTTCATTGACATACCTACTGCTCGAACTCGTAGGTATATGGATCTTATAATTCCCAAGTATGCTATTTACGAAATCGAATTGTATAAAATGACAAAATATGTAATTTCTTTGATACAATAAGATCTACAGATAGGCAAAGAGAATTATCAAACACGATCTAACTATGCAAATTTACTTCAACGACTTTTATCGTAAATGGGCACTTAAAGACACTCGTGTTTTATCGCTGAGGTCACTACATAAGAGCTGATTTGTCATCTCAAAATCTGTAGATATAGTGCAAATTTATTTCCTTTTATGTTAGATACCACCGAAGAGTCATTCATTGTAATCAACTTTTTCCCTTTCTAAAATTAGAAGAGTACCTCAATAAAGTTGACATCAGCCATAGAACTGACGTAGTTTGATGTTTAGCAAATAAAAATTAAAGGACTTTTCATGATTTTGGACCAACGACCAATTAGCCCGTATGAATAAAAATAAGCAAATGCTTATACCTGAAAAATTCAAAGCAAATACTCGTAAGTGCTCCTCCGCACTGGGCGACTTAGCAGCGCTGCTAAGCAGAAGGACAGGACGCAGTGCAGCGCTGCTAAACAGACCAGTATGAAGGGGCAGTTACGAGTATTTACTTTGAATTTTGCAAGTTTAAGCATTTGCTTATTTTTATTCATACGGGCCATGTCTCCTTTATGAATGATTGTAGTTGGGGGCTGAACTCGTCCCCCAATTCCTTACTTATCGCTAATATCATCGGGTACCTACTGCATCCATCGTTAGCTGCTCCTATTTCCTGAAATTTCTACATCGTCAAGATAATTTAGCAGACCTGGATGTAACAAAGAAGAGAATATAGGCAATACCGCCGTGTGGGTTAGAACTAGTTATACAACTAATAAAGTTTAAATGGGCTGTTAGTAGAATGAACATACAATTTAATTCATTACGTTCTGTTACGTAAAACGATTCTTCTTTCAAGTTTAGGAAGTTTAATTGGAAGTAATTGTACCTTAGATGTGTTAACTGTGAAGAAATTGAATACGCATTACATAAATCTCACGATGAAATGTCGATTAACCTAATGAATGCCTGCATCACACATCTGTGGAATATTGTTGCAAATAATGACGCTTAGAGCAGCGGCGGATCCAGAGAACCTTTTCAGGAGGGGCACATTGTGAATATAAAACTTTTAACTTCGGTCGCAAAAACGCGCCATCTCCCAATTATGGTCACGGAGAACAGATTGTACGCAGTGCACATTTTTAGAAAGATAGAAAGTAGAGAATGTAATGGAAATACTGTAAATTAAGTATTGTTTGTAACATTTAAAAGGGTGCTTTTTTTTACTTTTCGCAACCCTTTTTTTCTTCAGGATTTTCAAAAACACCGCCAATCATAATTAGACTTCACAACGCTAGCTTCATAGGAACGCGACAAATGTCCCTTACTTATACGGAAATAACGTGTAATTTTTCGAAACACCTGTGCTATCAGTGATATAAACAGTTAAACACGTGCGTTAATCAAATTTTGTCCGATAAAAACTCCTTACCACACACCACCATCTCCCTACATTTCATCGCGCAATTTCACGTTTTACAATCAATTCGGCAACGTCACACAAACAATTTATAAAATGGGAAAAATCTAAACAAAAAAAAAACCAAGTATAGTTCGTTTCACCAATAATTTAATATTTCTCATTAGGTCGTTAAGTAGCGGAAATTCCCACTGCGACATTTAAAACAATAGGACAATAGCCCCCATTTAACTAAAAGTCAGCGGTTCTTAATAAAATTTTAATGTTTCAAACGCCAAATTGTAATTGGGGAAACTACTTGGAATGTGTCTACCTATTTAATTCATACATGAATATGGTATCAACACGATTAATGTCGTTAATGTCCTATCGACGCATTCCTTAAGGAACTACAATTAAAATATATCGATTATTAAGGAAATGGACCGATTTATACGAGCCGAGATACGAGCACTACAAATTGGCGTTTGAAACATTAAAATTTTATTGAGAACCGCTGATTTTAGTTAAATGGGGGCTATTGTCCTATTGTTTTAAATTTCGCAGTCGGAATTCCCGCTACTTAACGACCTAATGAGAAATGTTAAATTATTGGTGAAACGAACTATATAAATATTGTGCGCAACTTTAGTGCGGATAAAGCGCATTTTTTAAACCGAAATAGCTTAGTAAATGGTTAGGTTATAAGGTAGTAGAGTTAAACCTTTCAAATAACTACTATTTAGTTGCCGCTTTCCTTGACATTATGGGGGCCTATGATTCGGTTAATGTGAATATCCTAAAAAACAAGCTTCTTAGCATGAATATTCCACATCGAGTTGGTAACCTCCTTTGTAACCTTTTAATAGACTTAGACAGAGTAGCTTTTAGAGCTGGACAAAATGGACTCATCGGTCCACGTACGTTTCAACAGGTTTAGTACTAGCGGTATAACGGAAATTCTTGAAAGATACTGCATTTTTTTATACCAAGGTGCCACTTGGTACAGTTGTTCCTTAGAGCCATTTAAACGATTTGACCCGAAGAACACTTGACATTTTCCGTGTGGGTAGATTTTAGAGGGGGTGGGGGTGATTTATTGTAAATTTTTTTAAAAACTAAATATGGCCTAGAGACGAGATCTGGGTGTCGATTTCGTATGATTTTAACCCGAGGAATCCAATGGTAGCGCCAGAAATGTAATCCGGATACCGGAAGTCCGTGAAAAGCCGCTATTTTTAGAAAATGACAGACTTTTGATCGAATTATATTTTTAAGGCACACCGGGTCGTGTAAGGTGTCTAGACTTATGTTTTTGGGGTCAGGGAATTCATTTATGATAACAAATATAACCTACTGGCATCGGAACTGCATGAGAGGCTTCCCTACTGCACTTTTTGAACACATCGCGCGCGGTGAAACCCAAGATATTCCAAAGTTTTAATATATAAACTTATATTATTTTATTTAATAAAAATACCCATTAACAAAACATAAGATATATTAAAACATGGGGTAAAAAATTTATAAGCCTATGAAGAATCACCAAGTACATCGCTGACCTCCTCTGAGATTGCGTTATCACCACTGAAAAGGAATTTTACATATAAATAGTAAAGGTTCGGTAGTAAATTAGGTATATTCGAAAGTATACAATATTCTTACCCTTTGTTTGAGCAATCTCCCATACATTTTTGGCATGCAGGGGAACATGGTAATCCGTGTCGCCGCAGCACGAGTTGGAGGAGCACATAAGAAGGGCGGCGTATGTCGCTGGCCATATCTGGGGATGTGCAAACCAGGTGATGAGAAGCTCTACAAGTCCAGAAGGATGGGGATGGACACTTGAAGCCAAAGGAAGGAAGGTTCTGTAGTCCAAGCTGCCACAAGGATGGAAGGCAGTCCGCGCTCTGAACAAGTGTGGCTGCGAGACCCTTCGGTGCAGCTGCCGGCGACACGGATTGCCATGTTCCCCTGCATGCCAAAAATGTATGGGAGATTGCTCAAACAAAGGGTAAGAATATTGTATACTTTCGGATATACCTAATTTACTACCGAACCTTTAATATTTATACCGAGTGAATATTCCCAAAACGAACATAGGGAATTAACATGGGCAAAGGGGTTTTTGCAGATAGTTGCTCCCCATGTTAACTTAGAGGGTTGATCATGACACCAATCGAAAGAAGATTTTTTTCCTCGTCTAATGATATACGAATTAGTTCATTTTCAGGTGTATTTCTCACTATATTATCAAAAACTCGAGAAATTCACTTACCAAAATCATGTTAAGCCATGACTAAGACAAAAAGCAGATTCAAACGTCGAAATCAATATCAGTTTATGACGCCTGCATAATTTTTTTTGTAAAATGCGGGTCACATGAGGGAAATAGTACATTACGCACCGAGCGCGAAAGTAGCTTATTTTTCGAAGAATGTTAACCACCTGAGGCGCGCAGCGCCGAGGGTGGTTTTATTCTGAGAAAAATAAGCTTTCGCCGAGGTTCGTATATGACTTTATTCACAATCGTAAGAAATTACAAAAATGTTAAATAAATTGTTTAAATTTTGCATTTTCTTCTCATTTTGTTAGTGGAAAAATGTCACACAGTTGGTACAACTGTCAAACATCCGTCAGTTACATTTTACGCGGCCGTACTTTTACGAAAATTTGAATTCAAAATTGAAAATGTCTGATTCAGAGGAGATTATATGTACTCCCCCTGAGTTACGAGAAGTTGCAGAGACAGTTTCAAAAAGTATACTGCCAGATAAAAGTAAAAAACGATACGAACAAACTTACAATTTGTACAAGGCCTGGTGTTTAGAGAAACGTACCCCAATAGGTTCTGAAAGTTCGTTATTGACATACTTTAACGAATTAATAAAGGTTAAAAAACCGTCAACACTATGGGCTACGTATTCAATGCTACGCTCAACTTTAAATTTAAATAAGAGCGTGGACATCACCAAATTTTATAATCTGATCGCCTTCATTAAGAAGCAAAACGTTGGATACAAGCCAAAGAAGTCGGAGGTTTTTAGCAAGGATCAAATAGAGCGATTTTTGAACGAAGCACCTTTTGATTATTTACCACAGAAAGTAAGTAGCTATTAAATAAAACGACAATCGTATTTGACAAAGACGTAAACATTTTATTAAATTATGCTTTGTAGTGATACAAGTTCATACAAAGCCACTTTCATTACAGTACTAACTTTGTGTTTATTTGTAGGTTGTTCTAATAATTGGCATATCAGGCGCCTGCAAAACGGATGAGCTCATAAAAATGAAGCTGTCCCATGTAGATTTTTTGGGACATCGTGTCAACTTTATTATACCCGACACGAAAACCTATAATAGTAGATCGTTTGTGGTGACCGATGCTAAATGGATAGGTTTCTTAAAGCAGTATGTTGACCTGCGTAACAATATTGACAATGAGAGATTTCTTCTACAAATGCGTTTTGGGAAAATTACAAAACAACCAATTGGTCATTCCACAATTGCTCAATACCCTAAAAAAATTGCATCATTTCTCAAATTGAAGGACGTAGATAAATTTACGGGGCATTGTTTCCGTCGAACAGCGGCAACTCTGTTAGCAAATGCCGGTGGAGACACCCTTCAATTAAAGCAATTGGGAGGGTGGAAATCTGCATCGGTTGCGGGTGGTTATGTTGACCAGTCTCTTCATGGCCAAGAGAGAATAGCGCAAATTTTGTCATCATCCACAAGTGTCACGGGAGATGAACAATCTAATGCTTCCGTTCCAAGTTGCTCCCGAATAACCTTTCCTGTTGGGTCTACTACTCAAGAAATCAACTTTTCTACAGAGCAAACCAAGCAAGGCCTGATTGTAACTATAAACAACAGCGGTCAGTCCAATGTAACCATTAATTTCAACAATTGTAGTTCTTGAATTTGTATCTTTTCGTTAATAGAACCGTTATTTTTTCTGCATTGGTACGCCCGTTTCTGTAAATTTGATCGGTTTTACTTTATTAACCCAATAATGAACTTACCAAGATAATGTTATTTTGAGGTTAACGAATTACAACCATCTGTGATTACAACTTTAGATCAAACCAACTCGAAACCAACAGCCAATTAGACATGCATCTCTGCTATACCGTGACTCCCTCAGCAGCGCGCAACCGCAAGCGCTTGAATTTGAATTCGCTTTAACGCGCCAACGTGCAGGTGCAAGCGTTTGTTTTGTTTATAATATCTATGAAGGAACAATGATATTACCATTACGAGTATATTTTTTACTCGTAGATTTACCCCTTACCCTTAAACAGTTTAACGCAAATTTAAATTCTAGCGTGTTTACGGTTGCGCAGGCCGAGGTCACTGAGAGAGTCACTGTGCAACAGGAATTCAAAACTCCATCTCATCTTGTGCGCCATCTGTGACTGATATTCGTAGCTATTACTTCCTTTCCTTAGCGCGGAAGTTCATACTTTCGAAGTTCGTAATAAATATAATCTAGTTACGGCCGACTTTCAAACTTCTTTAATGAGACGAATGACTCTTATTACTAACCGATTGTGAATAAAAGTATTTATAATAAACAACGTTTACAGCGGGAATGTTTACTCTAGTACGCGATATTTCAATTCGTTAGGAAATTTCCATGGCTTAACATGATTTAGCTAATTGGATTTATTGCCGAATTTTTGATAAAATAATGAGAAATACACCTGAAAATAAGCTAATTCGTATATCATTAGATGAGAACAAAATCTTCTTTTGGTGGTGTCCATACAAACCCTCTAAGTTAACATGGGGAGCAACGATCGGCAAAAAACGTTTTTCGCATGTTAATTTTCTACGTTCGGTTTTAAAATATTCTCCCGGTATGTGAAATTCCTTCACCACTGGGTGATAACGCAATCACAGAGGAGGTCAGTGATGTACTTGGTGATCCTTCATAGGCTTATAAATTTTTTACCCCATGTTTTAATATATTTTATGTTTTGTTAATGTGTATTTTTATTAAATAAAATATTACAAATTTATATAGGTATTAAAACTTTGGAATATCTTGGGCTTCACCGCGTGCGACGTCTTCAAAAAGTGCAGTAGGAAAGCCTCTCATGCAGTTCCGATGCCAGTAGGTTATTTTTGTTATCATAAATGAATTCCCTGACCCCAAAAACATAACTCTAGACACCTTACACGACCCGGTGTGCCTTAGAAATATAATTCGATCAAAAGTGTGTCATTTTCTAAAAATGGCGGCTTTTCACGGACTTCCTGTATCCGGATTACATTTCTGGCGCTACCATTGGATTCCTCGGGTTAAAATCATACGAAATCGACACCCAGATCTCGTCTCTAGGCCATATTTAGTTTTTTAAAAAATGTTACAATAAATCACCCCCAACCCCTCTAAAATCTACCCACACCGAAAATGTCACGTGTTCTTCGGGCCAAATCGTCTAAATGGCTCTAAGGAACAGCTGTACCAAGTGGCACCTTGGTATAAGAAAATGCAGTATCTTTTGGTATACCGCTAGTACTAGTTCTGTTATTTCTCCAGTCCTCTTCAATGTGTACACCAAAAATATTCACGACGATAGCATAGACGGTCAACTAATTCAATACGCAGACGACTTTGTAGTCTACAATTCGAATTGGAAAATTGAGGAATGCTCTCATCACAACATATCTGTAATATCTAAAAAGATGGATTCTGTAGGGTTCGCGCTAACGTCTGAAAAATCGAATGTCACCATATTCACCAGACATATAACATTCGAAACATCGAAGCGGTACATAATAAATAATAATGTCTCGTACCAAGTTTCTAATATGGATTCGTATTTAGGTTTTAAACGGGGGCGGGACACTTCGCCGAATGCCCACAACGCCGACCCGATTTTTGGATGGTCCATATCGCCGACTAGGGACACTACGCCGACAGTGCCCACATCGCCGACAAGTGGACAAGGGACACAACCCCGACCATGCCCACATCGCCGACAGGTGTACAAGGGACACAACGCCGACCATGCCCACTTCGCCGACGGACACTACGCCGACCGTGCCCACATCGCCGACAAGTGTACAAGGGACACTACGCCGACCATGCCCACATCGCCGACAAGTGTGCAAGGGACACTAGGCCGAACGTGCCCACAACGCCGACTATTCGGAAAAAAATTACTAGGGACACTACGCCGACAGCGACCACATCGTCGACAATGGAGAAGTTTCCAGTTTTTTGTTATTAATTAATTATGAAAATTTAAGTAAAATGAAACAAAAATGTGATAGAATCAATAAAATTACTCCACAAATCCCAAAGTTACAAGACTAAAGTTGCGATTGGAATAATAATTTCGGGACGTCACTTCACCTAGTTTGCTAAGAGCATGTCTTGAGCATGCGATCAAAAAAGAGTGGTATCGCCTATGAATCGCCTTTAAAAATTTTTGTTTATATGGGAAATCGTATTTCCTGGAATTACGTAAAATGACGTCACCGACACTGCCGTTCCGCGCTGAATACCTAAACTTAAATAATATATTTCTCAGTCATTTATTGCCGGATTTTGAAATTTCTTTTACTGGTTTATTAGTTTTGATCTATACTTTGATGTCATTAGGCTTAATATAGTAAGTAATATCATGTGGTTGAACGGTAAAAGATTAATGAATATCGCGATTCTTANGAGTGTGTTGTTTGTGTTGAGTAGTGCTTCAATTTCGTGCCTGATTTGTTCCTGTGTGTCTAATGTAAGGAGTGTATTTTTAATGATAACTCTACGTTGGTCTGCAATGCGTTGTTCTGTTAAGTGTGCTAAATGTGGGTATTGTGTAATGAACGCGTGATATAGTTTACCTCTGTATGCTGTCCTGTCCGTTTCCATCTTCGTGATCTCCAGATACGTACCGAAAATGAAGCGATTCATCCCTTCGTCCCATTTCATACGTCTTTTGGAGGTTTCCTTTGCACTGGTCCCATCCACAGGCGGTTGAGAAGCAGGCACAAAGGTTTCTTCTTGGTCGTCCTCTTCAAGTGGTCGTTGTCGTCTTCGTGGTCTTCTTTCGGCTGTAAAGGTTTCGGGTATCCCGACGAGCGGCCGCCTGATCACCAACTCGTCACTATCGGCTCGCATGCTGCAATTATTAATTATTATTAATTATAATAATAATTAATTATAATTAAATTATTATTATTATTATTATTATTATTATTATTATTATAAGTCAGCCATGACAGATGCCAGAGAACATTCCACGATTCGTGCGCCGCCCATGACGACTTTTGGTACTACTCAACAGTCGACGCGTAACGCCCTCACTTCTCACACAGAAAACAGGTTTAAGTTTCCAGACCTGTATAAACGACCGTGGCGGTAACTAATCCTTTATTGACTTGATGGCGCCTCGATGTCGCTCTGAAATATTTGCTACAACATTACACAATAGTTTCATTTCTTTAAAAGAGATTTTTTATTTTTAAAACAAGTCAACAAATGAGTACTAGTAACAGTAATTGCAGTAGGACGACTTGGATCAATCGCCTAGTTCTATGGTTTGCAATTCGACGAATACGCATGTACTCTTTCCACTTTCCCTTTTGAATAGTATATTTCGATGGCGGAAGGCCCATGGAAATTGCGTCAAGTTAGCCATCAGTTCTTGACGTCCCACATTAAGAAGCAGTTTGTTTCTATTATCAAAAAAATAATTAATACATAGTGCCGTGTTTAATATGCAAACTGTAGCAAGTAAGTACCCCAAAACGGATTGGGAGAAAAACTAAAAAGGCGATCAAAACAAAAATGGTGTCCATCTGAATTTGGAAATGTAGTTCTCAGTTTCTTTACGTTTTTGCTTTAACAGATGGAATGATATTATAGATGGGTGATTCTAAAAACTTAGGTTTGTTCTACCTATATATTGTCTTTTAGATTTTGTAAGAACTTTTCCTAACTTCCTAAATTGTAAATAAATACCCAAAAACGTAGGTATAAAATATAGAAGTTAGTTCTTTTAAGATTGAGGAGAAAAACTTAAAAAAAGCACACATTTTGAGATTTTCAATTAATGTATACAGGGTGCTCACAAAATAATGAAAAAGTTGAACATGCAAACTTTTAATTTTTTAATTAATTGTATCCGAATTGTACTCGCGAAAATAAAGGGAATTTGTCATTGCACCTCTATAGGCACCTAAAATTAACTGTTTGCAGAGAAAGTGGAAATGAAGTAAAAATGTCAAAAAATAAATAATAAATTAATTTCTTGTTTAAGTATGGCAACAATTACAAAAACGTCGAAAAAAACTTGTCTGGTCGGATTAGTAACAAATTTAGTTCATCATTCAAATTCGCAAGACGGCCACCGAACAGGTACCTACTCCATAGTTCCCTTACTTCCAAAATATTGCAAGCCAACAACCGTTCACGACCTCAATTGAAGTCAGGGGTTCAACAATTGCTAAATGTTTTTCCTAAATGCGAACAACAACTTTCCTGCACCGAATCCAATAAGTATACTACCTAGACTACTTTAACAATTCATATCAAATATCTCTACGAACTTCAAGACAATTCATTTAATGATTTAGCTTCTAACGAAATACAATGAAAATGACCAATAACATCCCAAATTGGCACCAAATTTTTACATACCACCCCCCAATAATAATAAATGTAATCGCAGCGAATTAGCCTAGACACATTTTCCCGATTATAATTTAAAGATAGTAATTGATTTAGGTTCCACGAATCCTGACATCTCCATGACCACAATTTTAAACAATACAACAAACCCACTTATCTTAAATTTAATTAAAGAAAGAACGAGGCATTCTACCAAGAAAGTTCTCCCATTTAGCATTTACGAATAAAACTATTAACCTTGATTTTTGTCCAATTTACACAAAATCTTACAGTCATTCCCAAACCAGAGGTTCAATTTCAGGATAATAAAATGCGAAATTCAAGCATAATAAGTAAAGTGCTAAAGCTTCTCTGCATTAGACTTACCTAGTGGTTTTCAGCAAATTGAACTTGCTTAGCATGCCATTTGGACTCAAAAATGCACCCTCAACTTTTGATCGTGTCATGACTCATGAATACACATAATACGGGGAAATCTTGTTTATTTAGACGAAATTTTACATCATAATTATCAAAACTTCTGTGTTCGTTTTCAAATATTTCAAAACACACTGTAGCATCTCCATCATATACAACAGGCACAGT